ATAAAGATATTTTTATTATTAAAGTTGAATTGGTTGAAGGAGAAAAATATTAAGGGTAGAGGTTGCATGAAATAAAGCCTTAATCTCCTCAGAGTGGGTGAGAGAGGACCCCTCCCTCCCTGCCCCAAGTCAAATCAAGTATCCAGGATGTGAGCACAGCCTGGGGTGATGGGCAGCTGCCCCTGTGGGAGGAGGGAAATGTCAGAGGCCGCCAAAATGGGGCTGAAGAAACGATTCAGAAGACAGACCCTTTCTCCTGGCCAGATTAAAAATTGTCTATCTGCCTCTGGAGCCTAAAGTTTTCACAGTTGACGTATCAACAGTAGTGCATTGTTTGTGGCCTTGCCCAGATCATGGCGAGTAAGATTTATAAGGAGCTTTGTCTGATGTGCCTGTTACGTTTGTCTGGTGCGCATATAAGTATATCCAAGGTATGAGACATTGGTGGCTCAGCGGGAGAGTTACCACCTTCCATGTGGGAGACCCAGGTTTGATTCCCAGCCAGTGCACCTCATGCACAGCCACCACCAGTCTGTCAGCGGAGGCTTGTGTGTTGCTGTGATGCTGAATAGGTTTCAGTGGAGCTCCCCGACTTAAACTGTCTAAGAAGAAAGGCCTGGCGATCTACTTCCAAAAATCAGCCAGTGGAAACCCTATGGATCACAATGGTCCAATCCTCAACCGACCATGGGGATGGCGCAGGACCAGGCAGCATCTCGTTCTGATGTCTACTGGGTCACCACGAGTCGGGGCCAACTCAACAGCAGCTAACAACAACAACAGCATATCCAAGGTGTTCTGTACTTAGAGATGTCTTTCTAATATGAAAACTTTTTTTTTTTTTTTTTTGCTAGAGTCTCCTGTGTCTCAGTTTCAAGGGTTTCAAAGCATATCCCAAACTAAATTACCTGAATTCCTCTTTAAGGTGGAATCACGTTGAGAGCAATCCCATAGGAGGGTGGATGTGCTGCACAAAAGACTTGTGCAGGGGACTTCTCATAAGTCACAGCCTGGATAGTTCAGGACTGCCTTCCCCTTAGGACTAAATGCAAAGAGGGGAGATGTGTTTATAACCAGCCTAGGTCTGGGCACATTAAGACCACATTGCTTTTGGGTCCATGTCACCCTGTCTTATCCACTATCCCTGCCTAGTTACATGACAGTCTGTGAGTTTCAAGGTATACTTGCTGTAAGACTGCTTTTTATTATGCCAGCATCATGGCTAGTATTTCTCAAGCTACCTCTCTAGAATTAACAGCACACCACCAGTCTTCTTTATATTGTTTTATTATTTCTAACTTCCATTCTAGAGCAACAGATTTTTTGGAGCCCATTTTTCAGAACTAGCACAAGTACTGCCTTTTTTTTTTTTTCAATGAATGCTTGGGTAACATTGTTAGAAGTTGTTGTTGTTAGTTGCAGTTGAGTGGATTCTGACTCATAGTGACCCCACTGTGTGCAGAGTAGAACTGCTCCATAGGATTTTCAAGGCTGTGACCTTTCAGAAGCAGATTGCCAGGCCTGCTTAACCCAGCAGCCAGACAAACAACCCAAGCATACTCTGCAGGACGGAAAACAAGACACACCTCTTGCCACGATTCGAAACCTGTTTTCTCATCAGTGATTCCGGGACAGGAGCCCTGGTGGCACAGTGGTTAAGCGCTCAGCTGCTAACCAAAGGGTTGGCAATTCAGACCCACCAGCCACTCCACAGGAGAGATGTGGCAGTCTGCTTCCATAAAGATTACAGCCTTGAAAACCCTATGGGGCAGTTTTACTTTGTCCGGTAGGGTCGCTATGAGTCGGAATTGACTCGACGGCAACGGGTTTGATATGGAGGTAGGATAATACTGGCCCTGTCTGCCTCATGAGTGGTTTTGAGAATAAGTAGACTTTTAAAATGCAGTCTTCAGGAGGTTTTTGAAAATTATAAAGTAATTTACAAACATAAGCTATGTTTATTACTATTGCTATATTTTATGTTGACACGTTTTAAAATGTTTCCCATGTGCCTCGGTTTCTAAGGAAACAGTTCTTTCTGTGAATTGTTTAAAAGAAAAGAAAAGTAATAAAGCCCTAGTGAAATCTGAAATTTAAAAGCGAAGTATTTGATGAACAGAGCATTGAAATTCTGTGACAGCACATACTATGGCAGTGTCTCATACTTCAATGGTGATGATTCACTTCTCACTGCATTGCACGCTATTGAAGTGCAAATATTTTTATTCAATAGAATCTGTTAATACCTTATATATCACATGGCAGAAAAGAAGACCTTGAGAGAATAGAAAGCAGGACAGATCACTTTTGAGAGATCGGGCAAGATTTGGGTCATGGAATATTAAGGGCAAGAGTTAAGGGTGGTGGGAGGGCCGAGTACTCTTGCCTAAGGTCCTACAGCAGCCTGCAGAGAAGAGGAGGTAGGTAGCAGGCAGACCAGGGGTAAGAAAGCACTAGAAAATGTGTGTGGTTTGTTGTTAATGGCCATCGAGTCAGTTGTGACTCATGGCAACCCCATGTGTTACGGAGTAGAACTGCTCCATAGTTTTCTTGGCTATAACATTTAGTGAACAGAAATTTTTATTTTTCTCACAGTTTTTTTGTTGTGTCGATTCCAACTCATGGTGACCCCATGTATGCAGAGTAGAACTGCTCGATAGTGTTTTCAAAGCTGTGACCTTTCAGAAGCAGATCACCCGGCCTGTCTTCCAAGGTGCTTCTGGGTAGGTTGGAACTGCCAGCCTCTGGCTAGTAGTGGAGCGCAAATTGTTTGTGCCACCAAGGGACCTTTAAAACACTAGTAAGAGGTGCTATTATTAGAAGATGAGGTTCAGTTGTAGAGGATGTGGAAGGAAACAATCAAAACAACTTTTCTTCCTTCACAAATAATGCTACTTTGATTGCCACCAAGTGTGCAAAGTATCTGGCACATAATGTTGCTGGCAGTAAATGTTGAATAGGTAGTTGAATCAATTAGTAAGTGAATGCCTCCGAGGCACCCAGATTCACCCTGCCCCTAGCAGCAGTACACCTCGCGCAGTCCATCTTTGAGATCTGCGAAGCTTCAGACCTTGAAACTTCTTGTGGTGGAAGTTTCTAGATAAATGAGGAATGGAGAGAGCTTGGTGTCAGTTGCCCAGAGGTGGTGTCTTGGGATCTGGGCTTACTTATGGATGGATCATTTCGACAACACGGTCATCAAAATGTAGTTTCTCTCCTGTTGTTTCAATTTCTTTTCACTCTTTGAATCACTTTTTATTTCTTCTGAGAGCCTTTCCTTTCTTATCAAGATTGTCCAGTTTGCTTTGGAAACAAGACGATGTCATTATCCAAGCACAATATTGTCTGGAATGACTGTAGGTAATAGAAAAGACTCTAACACATAGGCCTTTTATAGCTGCAATTGTTTCTTCTTTATGAGTTTTTTAAAAAGAAAGTTTTGGTGGATCAGTTATTGCACGTTAATTGCCGTGACTTGCAGGAAATGAACCATATCTTGGTGTGTGTATATGTGTGTGCTACTGCTAAGAGATATCTTTTACTGTATCTATTAAAGCTGTAAAAGTTGTTTTTGCAACTGTGTTGTGATTTTAATATTTCAAATCTCTTTTTCATTTTGTTTTTGGAAATTTGTGTTTCTTTTTTTAAAAAAAAGTGCTAATATATTCCTTTGAAGTTTATTTCCAAGACGGGTTAATTATTTGAAAGAAGCAGTATTTTTCTTAGAGAAGTATGTGCTTTACTGGTTGAGTTGTTGTTTCTATTCAGGATTTTATAGTTCCGTTACTTTGTTAAACTCAGAGTAGCAGAAAGTATCAAAGCCAAAGGGGCCGTAGTGGTTGTCCACCCAGGCTCCTTGACCCTTGCCAGCCTAAACTCCTTTCCATTAATACAATAATAATACTAATAATGTAGTCAGAAATTATCTTTTAATGTAACCTGAAATTCAAAGCAAATTAAAATTAAATATTGTCCCCCAAAATAAAGCAATGCAATGTGATAAAGTGTTGTTTTTTCTTTCTTCTTTTTTTTTTTTTTTTGGTAAATCACAAGTGGCTTCAAGGTTCTGATACCTCCGAGGACATGTCACTGCTATCAGTTGAAAATGGTTGACTGGGTTAACCCCCTCATTTACACGAGTCTAAGGAAGTTCAGGAAAACATGGTGGTGTAGTGGTTAAGAGCTACAGCTACTAACCAAAATGTCGGCAGTTCGAATCCACCAGGTGTTCCTTGGAAGCCCTATGGGGCAGTTCTACTCTGTCCTATAGGGTCGCTATGAGTCGAAATCATCTCAACGGCAACGAGTTTGGTTTTTGGTTTGTTTAAGGAGGTTCAAGGAGCTCATTCACTGCATTTAGCAAATTAGGAGCAGATCTTGGTAAAGAAGCCAGGATTCTGTTGGCCAGGCCTGTGCTTTATGCACCACACCCCCAGGTTTTTATGATGTGCTTTCATGCAAAATATCATCTCACCCAGCACCACCTCCCTATGTCTGATGATGCTGACATCAGGAAGGTTATTTTGATTTTATGTCGTCACAACAGGACAAAGGCCAAGGCCAGGAGATTTTTCTGACCTGACTATTCCATGGGTCCTGGTTTGTTTTTATTCCCTTGAATTTTTTTCCTAGACATTTATACCCCCATGTCATAGAAACATAAAATATCAAAGCAAAAGGGGCCATAGTTGTTGTCCCTTCTTGACCCTTGCCAGCCTAAACTCCTTTCCATAAATACAAATAGTAATAATAATGTAATCAGAAATTCTCTTTTAATGTATCCTGAAATTCAAAGCAAATTAAAATGAAATATTATCCCCCAAAATATTTTCCCTGATACAGCTTTTGGGGAATAGATGGGGCAAAATCTAAATCTGAGAATGGATTCACATTAAAAATAAAATTTGAGTCGGTTGTCACATTGAAAATTCTCACTGTTTTCCCTGCAACATATAACAAATCCTCTCCAATTTTTAATTCGTTCTTTTTTTTTTTAACAGTGTATCTGGTGGAGAGCTGTTTGATCGGATAGTGGAGAAGGGATTTTACACAGAGAAAGATGCCAGTACCCTGATCCGCCAGGTCTTGGATGCTGTGTACTATCTCCACAGGATGGGCATCGTCCACAGGGACCTCAAGGTGAGGCCACTGCTTAGCAACATCCTCCAACCACTCTCGAGCCACAGTGCAGCTGTCAGAGTGAATTGGCTCCAGTGGAGGGATGAGGCCACCTGCATGTAGCTATGAGTGGAATGAATAGTGGGGAGTTGTATACTTTTAGTTGTCAGGGTCTTGAAAGAAGATGAAGACCAATCAGACTGGCTATTGTTTGGAAGATTTTATAACCATTAAGCAGCCACAGGGCCAAAGGGAGGTAGGTTGCATACTGCTTCAAGCTCATCTAAAAGGAAATTTTGTTCAAGACATAGGTTGTCATTAGTTGCCAGCAAGTCAGTTCCAACTCATAGTGGGTGTAATCTTAACAGAAGCAGATCAGGCCTTGTCTCCCACAGTACTGCCGGATAGGTTCTAACCACCAACCTTTAGGTTTGCGGTCGAGCCCAAACCATTTACAAGGCAATGAAAAACCCTTCATCCAGTACAGTTCTTCACAATCACTTCCCAATTCCAGCCTCATATCAGCACAGGATACTGCATGAAGGAAAGAGAGCAGGGGTAGAGGGCATGAGAGACGAGGGAAATAGAAGGTCAACAGGAAAGAGGTTAAATGAACTCCAGTTGCAACAGGTTCATAGGTGATGCTGATGCTGGTCTGGGGACCATTCCCTAATACCACTGGACTAGTGTATTTTGGAATGTTGGGTGAGTCCTTACAGCTTTCTCCCTTAGCAGGTTTCTTGATGGATATGAGGATGATTAGCTGATCTCCAGCGTCTTGTAGGCAGGGCCTCAAACTGGTTGGCTCTGATTGGAATCCCTGCTGAGAACTTACATTTCTAACAAGTTCCCTGGGGTTGGAATTTGCATTTCCACCCCAAGTAAACTCAATCAGAATCTACATTTTAATAAGATCCACAGGTGATTCTTCTGTATAACCTCCTGGGAACTTGTTATTAATGCAGATTCTCAGCAGGGGTTTGAATCAGAAGGAACTGGTATGAAGCCCTGTTTATAGGCTCTTCAGAGGGTTAGGTAGGCCCGCCTGGCCTCTCCCTGCCAGACTGTGGTACCTTCTCTTCTCTGTTGTGCTCTTGCTAAATGCTTGTACTGTGCTTTCAAAACATCACAAGCAGCTTTTTCTGAACAAGTTAGTGTGGTGACCACGGAGCTGTGGTGTGAGTGGGCTGGTTGTTTGTTCTTATTAGAAATAATTTCTAAGCAGATAAGCAGTTTCCTAGAGGGAAAGCGTTTATTTCCCCTTAAAAAGGCAGTTTGGCTGTATAGGAGATGTTGTTTTTCACTCCTACATCATTCTTAGGAGAAGTACTTGTAGCTCCTGGCCTGGGGAGCTTTAGGATCACCAGGCTTATCATTGTGGGAAGAACATTGCCATTTTAGGACCTTCTTGTGATCTCTTTTCAGAGGCACGAAGGAGACTGATCTGTGTGGAGGAAGTTGGGCTTGGAATATTAAATTTCCATAAACATTTAAGAAAATTAAAACAACCTATGTAACTTTCTAGACTGGAGCAATAGAGAACATGATCACATTAATTTAAGATTAGCATACAGTTTGGGGTACTATCCTGACATGCATACATACCTCTTTCTCCCTCCAGAAAGGTATTCTTTATGCCTTATTGGCCAGAGAAGCTACTAGAGACAATCTGTTGTTCTTTTGAAGGGACTGAGACAGGAAGTGCCCACTCCTGCCTCCTTGGATGACGATAGGGTTTCTCAATCATTGCACTATTGACATATTGGACCCGATAGTTCTGTTGTGAGGGGCTGTCCTGTGCATTGTAGGATGTTTAATAGCGTCCCTTGACTCTACCCGCTAGATGCCAGTGACACCTCCAGAGTTGTAACAACCAAAAATGTCTCCAGACATTGCCAACTGTCTTCTCAGGGGTAAAATTGCATCCAGTCAAGAACCACTGGTTTAGGAGTGTAATATTTAACATTACCAAAACTGTTCGTTCAGATCATTTTAAAGTCTTTTATGTGAACTACTAAAGGGTTGGGTTTGACCCTCCAACTCGGGTATTGACCACCAATTGTCTTACAAAGATTCCATAATGTACAGAAAAAATAATTTTTCAGGTGAGCCCGGGCATCCCAAGACACCCACCTGAATTGCCATACAGTGTGGGCAGGATTCCCTCCCTGCTGCCCCCACCCACACCTTCATGCTGTCACCTGGGGGCCTCCCACCCAGAGTGACAAGTCTGATCACTCAACACAAGAATAGTTCCTAAAATTCAATGCTTTGGAGCCAAAATTTCACCACAAAGCCCTAACACAAAGTGAAGAGAATATTGCTTCACTGTTGGAGTTGGAAGCAGAGCTAGACGGGGAACGGACATAAGAAAACGATCTTCCTAGTGTAGGTGCTTCACGTTGTGTTTCCTTTAAGACTAGTGTAGATGAGAGACATGATTAATTACTAAGTAAATCTTCAGAATTATCATGATGGGTGGACGTTACTGGACAGTAGGAGAGGGTTCAGTCATTGACATCATCTCCCTTGGTGACAGCATCATCGATTGAACCAACGCTTCCAAAAAAAAAAAAAAATTATGGGCGCCTCTTCTGTGCAGGAGACACAAAATGAGGGACAGCTCCGAGGCTGTCGCACCTCCCTGAGTCTCCATAAGCCCTTACCTCATTCTTTGCTAGGAACAATGACAGATTCCCCAATTTTACATAAAATGCTAGGCAAATGAAGCTTCAAGCTCTCACCTCAACCCTAGGCCGCCCCTAAGCCCCTCCTACACAGAGTGATGTAGGTGCCAGTGATGTTGCAAAACTCCAGGGGAGACAGAAACTACAATAAAACCTTTGCTATGTGTAGTGCTTTATTGCTACTATCATATACTGTACAGGATAGCGAACATCACTGCCCATGTTTTACAGGAAAAGCAAACAAAGCTCCTAGTACTTAAGGGCACATGGCTAGAAAATCCTGGATCTTCCAGCCTAGATTCATTCTGTCACAACACTCCTCTACTCCCCGGGAGGAGGAGCGGATGTCAGCTGGCCTCAGTAAAGGGGAACACGCAACACGTCTGCTGGGACTACAGGTCACCACGTGATGTTGCTGAGAGCAGGAGAGAGACCTTTGGAGGAGAGAAAGGTTGATAACAAGGGTCACGAATTAAAAAAAAAAAAAAAAAAAACTAGCCCCTGAAAAAGGAGCCCTGGTGGCGACGGTTAAGCGCTCGGCTGTTAACTGAAAGGTTGGCAGTTCAAACCCACCCAGCGACTCTGCAGGAGAAAGACCTGGCGATCTGCTCCCATAAAGATTACAGCCTAGGAAACCCTATGGGACAGTTCTACTCTGTCCTGTAGGGTCACTATGAGTCAGAATTGACTTGACGGGCACCCAACAAAAACAGCACCTAAAAAAGTAATTTTATTTCCTGGGAATCCCACTTCTCCTGACCCGAGAAGTGAATCGACAAGTGTGACAGGCATCAGCTTCCTAGATTGCCTCAAAATATTATTATTTTTTAAGTAGAGAAAATACTAAAAGGGAAAGGGAGTAATATTTATTGAAAGCTTCTTTATGCCAGCTCCTGTGCAGGGCCTGATACATTGCTTTCGTTAAACAATTTTTCATTAATGTATTTAATAGGTCTAAAGGTCAAGCATATTCTTAAGTTGTTATGAACAGGTTTTGTCATTTGGCTTTGTAGTTTGTAGTGTCCCACAGTTAAGCCAGCTTTAAACACAGTTTGTAAAATTTTTTCTTATTTTGCTTCTAGCCCGAAAATCTCCTGTACTACAGTCAAGATGAGGAGTCGAAAATAATGATCAGTGACTTTGGATTGTCAAAAATGGAGGGCAAAGGAGATGTGATGTCCACAGCCTGTGGAACCCCAGGCTATGTTGGTAAGGACACTGTGTATATGTGCATGAATGTGTGTACCTGTGTGAGAGTGTGTAAGTTTGTGTGTATATGTGTGTCTGAGGATGTGTGTGTAAATGTGTGTGTGAGAGTGTATATATGTGAGAGTATGTGTGAATGCGTGGCATATGTGTGAGAGTGTGTAAGTGATGTGAGTGTATAAGTGTGGGAGAGTGTATGAGTGTGTATAAGTGTATGAGCATGTGAGTGTATGTCTGTGTGTTGTGTGTGTATCTTGCCAACTTCATCAGTCATCGTAAGCATTTGAGCCTAGCTCATGATCACAGCTGCCTTCATTTCCCTTGAGAGTAGAATAAAAACATCGAGAAACACTGGAACAAGTAAGAAGGGAAGTGATTTCCCCTGAAACCTTTTAAGAGTTGAGTGAAAATCCTGTTTGATTTGGGTGTGGGCCTGACTGAAGGCTGGGGAGTTGATTTGGATGAATTCCCAGGCTTTAATACCAAAACTGTTTCATATATCTGTTTTTGAATGATTTGCAGTAAGACACTGAGATAACAGTAAAGGACAGACACAAATAAAATGTTCAGATAGAAGCAACCAGAAAATACTGATTTGAGGAACCTGGTTTAAATCTTGACCACCTTGCATCAACTCACCCTGATCTGTACTGGCTAAGCCAAGAATTAAAGTTTTTCCTAAAAAATACCTTATGTTCTCTACCAACCAGATCAGAACCCTTAATTCTTTGGGTTAAACGAATTCAGTGTGGAGAAGACTGCTAACAGAGATCTGGACACTTGAATACTGAGATTGTCTTCTGTCCTTGGGTGACTGGGGAAAAGAAGGCCATTGGAGCTATTTGAGAATTTTTGTGAGACCATCATTCACATTAATGTTTTAGTCAGGGTTCTCTAGAGAACCAGAACCAACAGAACCAGATATATACATAGATCTCTGCGCCTACAGGGGTCTCCAGGCTTTCACCTAACCCACGGATTTTGGATTTGCCAACCCCTATACTCTCATGAGCCAATCCCTTTTGATTGATTTACTTCAAAGAATTGGCTCACACAATTGTGAGGGGCCGGAAAATCCAAAATCCATGGGTCAGGTGATAGGCCTGAGACTCCTGAAGGCTTGTGTCCCAAGCTCCTTATGTCAGACAACGGGAAGAATGAGGTGAGAGTTTTGCCAAAATACCTATTTATAGTCTAGAGACAGAAGACACCCTACAGAAACTCCCTTTTTGCTCTTAAGGCCTTCAACTGGTTGATTAACTGTATCACATTAGATTACATTATGGAAGATAATCTGCTTTGTTACTTAAAGCCAACTGATTTAATCACATGTAACTACTCCACAGCAACTAGACTAGTGTTTGGCCCAACAACTGGGAACCACAGCCTAACCAAGTTGACACATAAAATTAGCCATCACAATTAATGTGTTCATTCATGCTATAGATGTATATTAAGTGACTACTCTGTGCCAGCTGCTGGCCTAGTACTGGAGTTATGGTAGGGAACAAGACAGGCAAAGTCCCTGCCCTCGTGGAGTTTACATGTTACTTGGAGTGACAAACAGCCAACAAAGAAACAAATAAATAAACAGGGTCATTTCAGATCATGATACGTGCTATGAAGAAAATAAAACGGGAGCATGCAATCAATGGCATCAAGGGGTGGGGAGGGAATTAGGATTAGATTAGGATGACAGGAGAGGAGACATCTGGGCATTTACCTCAACGACGAGAAGGAGCCAGCCACGTCAAAGCCAGGGGACAGAGCATTCCAGGCAGAGGAATCAGCTTGTGCGAAAGCCCTGACGTGGGAAAAGGCTGAGGGGATACAAGCTAGGTATGCTTGATTGTAGGGGTAAAAATGAGATTAGAAAACAGTCACAGAAAATCAAGACCACGGCTAAATTCTTGTCATGCAAATCATGACGGCCTTTCTTAATGAGAATTTTAAATCGACCTTGAAAGAAAAGAGGTAATGTTGTACAGTCAACATTATTCCTTTTTGTCCTTGGATACAATAAAGTAACCTTCCCAGGCAGGCTGAGGAAAGCAGGCCTCAAACTAAACCAGTCTGGGGGGCACCAGAGCATTGTGGGAAACTTCAGATTACCTTGGAAGCATTTCACTGCCCTTCAAGTCTTTCCATAATAACGGGTATTATGTCAAACTGCTACTGTCACAGCTGTTTCGCTTTTAAAATAAGTCAAATGAAGGGAGAAGAGGGCAGGCTGAGGGGAATGGAGAATAAAATGGGGGAAAGGAAAGGACACAACACAGATTTAGACCAGACCAATTGCTGTCAAGTCGATTGCAGCTCATGGCGACCCCATGTGTGTCAGAGTAGAACTGCACTCCATAGGGTTTCCAACAGCTGATTTTTCAGAAGTAGATCACCAGATCTTTCTTCTGAGGCACCTCTGGGTGGACTTGAACCTCCCACCTCTCGGTTAGCAGCCAGTGTATTAACCATTGGCACCACCCAGGACTAGGAGGAGATAAAAGATGGTGAAAATGTGACAGCAGAGGAGAAACTGAAGTCAGTACTGCTTACTTCTTGACTCTTCTGTTGTCGGTGGAGATCATGCCCCTGGATTATGTATTTGTACTAGACAGAGAAGGAGAGACTACTCTGATCATTATTACCTCAGGCCTTGATGGAAATTAATGGCATAGTAAGGAATCATTCTGTTCTAGGACAGTAAAAAGATGGTTTCAGGAATAATCTGGTCTGTCTGGGAGATTTGGAATTCTAGTTGTGGCGTGTGATACACATGTAAATGCATGTGTATGGCTGGGGTGGGGTTGGTGGATGGAAATGTGAGTGTGCGCCATGTGTGTATGGAATTCCTTCTGTTCAACCCAAGCCATTAGGCAAGCAGCAAATAAAAATGATTGAGACAAGTTTATTCTCAGACTCCTTAAAAGATGGGGGAAGCTGCCTATTCCAGCCACAGTGAATCATAGGCATTAGAAAAGGAAAAGGCCTATGAGGTCATGGTGTCCTTCTGGCCAGGATGGGTTTTCTCTTCAGCAGATTCTCTGGTGTTCAGTCTGCTCTGGGCTGAGAAGCTGCTGAGAATACTGTGACTGGCCCAACTTTCCCCTTCAGGAAGTCAGCTCTCAGGCTATGATTTAATATTCTGACAAAGAATGTACACATTTACATACACATCACACTGTTCTCATGGTTGGCTCTGATGCTGGAAAGCTCTAGCACTTTCAAAACTAATTTTTGCATGTTTGTGTTTTGGCAGTCTCTCTGGATTTCTAAGTGGAGCGGTCTGGTTCTGTTTACTGCTGTGTCAGACGTTGATGAGTCTGGGAACCGTGCTTAGATGTGACCCTTGCTCTAACTACCCTCAGTGGGAGCCCTTGTGTACTTCTGTTGTCAGATACGGAGTTTTCTTTGAGCAGGGGAGGGGGAAGAGGAGGATATAGGAATATAGCTATTCAGCTTGCTAATGTTTACGGAGTATCCTTGGAGAGTCTGACTTTGGAGTAAGCTCAGTGGAGGGACACAACTCATAGAGCACAGCAGGGGCTGCCTTGGGGAGCTCGTGTCTACATAGACATGCCATGAGCAGTGAGCAGCTGAGCTTGGACTGTGTCCTTCCCCACAGTCTGCATGGCAAACTCCTACTCAGCCAGCAAAGCCTAGCTTACAAGTTACCACCCACTGATTGCTTTCCCCAACTCCCCATCCTTTCCTTTACCATCTCAGTTCTTTTCCTCGCCCTTTTTCTCAACATAAGAGGGCTGATGACACAGTGGTTAAGCGCTCAGCTGCTAACTGAAAGGTCGGTGGTTCAAACCCACCAGCTGCTCCATGGGAGAAAGAAGTGGTAATCTCCTTCCGTAAAGATTACAGTCTTGGAAACCTTATGGGGCAGTTCTATTCTGTCCTATAGGGTCGCTATGAGTCGGAATCGACTTGATATAATGGGTAATGGGTTTTCACATCCCAACTCTGATGACATTGCAAATGGGTATATATTTATGTTTGTCTCTCCCCAGCTGGGATGTGGGTTTTTCTAGATCAGGGGCAGTGTCTGATTCATCTTTGCACAGATGCTTGCTGCATTGAATACAAACCCAACAAAACTTAGCAATCTTTTCCTTTCTGTCCTCCCCTTCCATTCATCCAATATACATTCGCTGATGTCCTGTTACATGCCATGCACAGTACTTGCTGCTAGAAATGCAAATATGAGTAAGGCACAGTCTCTGACCTCAGTGTTCTCGGTATTGTGAGAAACAGAGGGCAAACACACAGTTAACAATACATGGAAGGTGCTGCATCATTAATTCATTGGATAATTATTTATTTAATGCCTACCTTCTTTTTTTTATATATTATATGTATATTTTTTTAATTGTACTTCAGGTGAAGGCTTACAGAACAAATAGTTTCTCATGAAACAGTAGTACACATACTGTTTTATGACATTGGGTAACAACCCCACAACATGTCAACCCTCTAACTTCTCAACCTTTTTTTTTTTTGGTGAAAATACACATAGCCAAAGATACACCATTTCAAAAATTTCTACATGCACAGTTCAGTGACATTGACTACGCTCTTCCAATTGTGCTGTTATTCTCACTTAAGATGAAGGTTTACAGAACAAAATAGTTTCTCATTTAACAGTTACTACAAATGTTGCCCTTTGACAATGGTTAACAATCTCACAACACATCAACAATATCCTTACTCAACCTTGGGTTCCCTATCACCAGCTTCCTTGTCCCCTTCTGCCTTCTGGCCCTTGTCACTGGACTCCTGTACCTCGTTAGTCTCATTTGTTTTTACGGGGCTGTCCACTCCCAGGCTGAACAGTGAACCTCAGAGATAACTTCACCACTGAGCTAAAAGGGTGTCTGGGGGCCATACTCTCAGGGTTTCTCCAGTCTCTTTCAGTAATGCCTACCTTCTGTTCTAGGCACTGAGGTTGCACCAGTGGAAAGACAAAAAGACAGATAACAATGCCCACCCTCACAGCA